ATTCTAAAATTCATTTGGAAGAGACAATGTGTATGAATAATGAAGACATTTTGAAAAAGATTGTAATGGGGAGAAATTTGCCTTACCCAGATATTAAAATATACTGTAAAATTATGGTATAAATGATAGTAACACCGGTATAGACAGATCAACGGGACAGTGTGTGAATCTACAAATACTTCCTTCTGCTTCTAGTTAACAATACTAGAAATATATTCTCTAGATAAAAGAGAGTCACATAAGGATTGCAACATTGTGTAACAGAAAAAATTAAAACAACCAATATCCATCAATAGGAGAATGATTACACCTCTTTCAGTGGCATAGGAATACTATATAAATGGAAGAAGATTAAAACACGTTTACATAGATGCATAGTTTATATTGCCGAACTGTAAAAATATCACTGAGTCAAAAAAAAATCCAGTTGTAGGGCTAGAAAAACAATATAACATTTATATTAGAGCACACAAACAACACTATAAATCTTAGTACATAGCCATGTGCACATAATTATCAAAAAAGAATTTGTAAGAATATATATCAAACTCACTATAGACTTTGAGGTATGAATACGACTGGAAGAAGGATAGAGTTTGACCTTTTTTGTATATACTTCTACACAATACTGTTTGAGGTTTAAAATTGTGTTAAATAATGAAAATGCAGAAAAGCCATTATTGACAATATAGATGATTGGAGAAAGGTTTTAAGGTGGTCTACAAGGTGGCTGGAGAATAAATTGGCTGGATCCTGACAACCCAGCAACTGGTGAATGGAAGCAGGATGCCTAAGGATGTAGGACCTTAGCAGCTTAGAAGAAGTCACTCTTGGGCAGCGTTGCCTTTCATTTTTCATCCTCTCACCCCCACCTGACTTGTTATGTTCCCCCCTCATACAATTAGTCACTAATCTCACTTTCATGTTTTCACCGCAACACAAAAAATGTTAATCCACTAAGCTTCATGTCCTCTGGACATAACATTTCCTGCTCTTCCTCATTGCTCTCATTTGCAAACCTTTGGCCTCCTCCCCACCTCTGTCTCCCCAAACAGTCTAAAGAAAGTTATAAATATTTTTGCTTCATGGAATTGTATCACTTCAATCTAGTAATAAGGGTAACTACCTCATACCTATGATCAGATTAGTCCTTCACTTAATTAATCATAGAAATACTTATATTCTTGAATGGAATGCATTTTTCTTGATCGATAAATATTCACCCAACTACAAGGTGTCTGAGAAAAAAGAATAGAAAGGGTAAAAAGAATATAAATCGCAGAGCAATGGACACCCATGCTCTGTGAGGTCGGGGTTTTCTCAAGTCTTGTAGGAAAGGTGGCTCAGATCATCAGGTTGTGATCAAGTTCACACTATTATTATTATAAATGATCAACCCTGAGGGTTTTAATGTCTCAATGGTAGACTCTCCTTCCTAGAAGCTGAAATACCCTTATATACCTCCCTGGAATTTTTTGGCTACTTCTCCTGAGAAAGAAAGTGAAGGTGGTGATTGGCAGAGCTATGGGCCTGGTCTCTGCAGAAGCAGATACACTACCAGATCCTGAAAGATCCTGGCAGTTTCTGCAAGGAGAGATATTTTTTAATTTTAAAAAATGTCATCAAATGAAGAGCAGTTAAACAATTTGCTATTGCAATCTTTCTAGGGAGGAACTAGGTTGGTGGTTTCTAATCTGTTAGGGAAGGAGGTAGGAGAAGAAGTGGGCAAGGGTACCACCCAGAACCCAGGTACTGCACACAGCCAATGCAGCAATTACTGCACCATGTTGTAATTAGCAAACCCCAAGCTGTGGCCACTTTGAGGCCCAATTAAGAAAACAAACAAACAAACTAGAAAATGTTTCATCTTGTGGATGGAAAGGAGATACTGTACTGCACCTCTTTCAGGATGCCTTCCTAACAATCCCCCAACCCTGCAAGGAACAGTAAAATCACTTTTGCAAATGTTTTCTGCTTTAGCAGAGAAATGACATAATCTGCCAATGAGAGGTTCAGGCAGGTGACCCAAGGCAGTTAGAAAAAAATGTGGAACAAAATTCTGGCAATTGTCCAAAGCATCAAAGCATCTGAAATAACTCTCGGTTTCCCTCTGTAAGCCATAAAAACGGGTGAGATGAGACTAAAAGATGCAAGCCTCCTTTGAATCCAAGGAGAAAATACCTAGAAACAGGCAGTAACTCTTCTAGCCCTGTTTTACTGCATTCAGGGGGAAATTCAGAAAAAAATCATGTGGGTCTCACTGAAACTGTTTCCTAGGTTTTACATGGAAACTGATGCCTTGAATGTCCCAGTTGTGATGGCAGTCGGCCTGGAGCACGGTCCCCATGGTGTGAAGAAAATGTAAAAAGAGACGCTCTTACAAAGATCGCTATATAACAACAAACTCTTATCAAACAATATGTAGATGAGCTGAGTATAAAGAAAGGAGAAAGAGAAGAATTCAGATTTTCTTTCAAATACACTCTAGCTTAAACATAAAGGAGGAAAACATTGAGTTGTCAAAATAGGCTTGAGGTTTTGCTTAACCCAGAAATTCTGGAGAATAGTATGAGATGTTTTTGCCAAATCCTAAATACTGCGGGGGTAAGCTTTCCCTCTAACCAATTAGATAATTGCCATTTCATTCTGTAGCTTTCGCAATTGTTTCTTCTCTTTTTTTTTCTTTTTCTTTTGAATGCAAACAAAATAATTAGCCCGTCTCCGGGTAATTTTGCTAATATTTTCATAATTAAATACTTACTTCAACCCCTGAATTAAACGCTGCCCTGCTGTCCCCGTGGATACAGTAGGCTGCCAGCTGTTTTAAATAACGCTTGAGAGCGGTCAGGTTGAGGACTCAATTTATGACCTTATAAATTAACACAAGGAAACCTACTCCATAATGCAACAGACAATTCTATTTATAATGCTTAATTAATCCTCTCCAGCCTCTGACAGAACCCACTTGTGACCTTTTATTTCAACCTCACCCGAATGCAAGTCTCCTGAGATGAAAAGTGTTAATATGTGAATGTGGATAGAATTTGCCGGCATTATGGGCAAGTATTAAATTGCTCACATTCTGGACATATTGGTTCCTGGTAGCTCACTCATCAAAAGTAAGAAGGAAATGTCAAGGTGGACAGCAATGAAGAAACTCTTCATTTTAATCTTGAGCTGGAGAGAGGTAGAGAGAAATAAAATGCCCACGTCTAACATCGCCTTCAAACACTTGCTCTGAATTTCCGTCTTGGCAGATGAGGCAACCAAGAGAAGGTATCAGAGTTGTTTCAAAGGATGGCTGTGGGGGGCCATCCTGGGTGGTTTCATTTATCTGCCCTCCTTAGTACCCTAAGGCTGCTTTCTCTTAGACTGATCCAGAAAATCCAGGGATAACCAATTCAATGCTGTCTTATCTAACATATTACAAACAGAGTGGTGTTATCTGGAAAATTCTGAGTACCCAAGAAAGCTACAGGGTGTAGGCCAAATATAGTTTGCAGAGATATATGAAGTTCCCCCGAGGGACAGGCCTGAGAAGGATCAAGGAAGGCATGTGCACTACTTGGACACGTTTGTGGGCAGAGAGAGCCATAGTGACCTGCATGCAAAGGAAAGTCCACACTGTAGCCTGGAACCTTGGAATATGTGTGGAGAGTTTTATCAGCTTTTAGGGCTGTTCAGAGTCATTCCGTATGTCCTTGCAAAGCTGGAAAATAGCTTTCCTTTTTTGTTCCTCGTATTCAAGAGTCAGCATAACGTGATGATTCTGGCTCTGTTGTAAGCACTTAGGCAAATTCCTTAATTTCTCATTGGCTCTGTTTCTCCGCCTGCAAAGTTGGAATTATAACAGTACCTATCTCACGAGGTCATTGTGAGGATTAAATAGGGTTAAAACTTTCAGAGGCTTTAGATGGTGCCTGGTGCAGAGTAGGTGCTATTTTAGCATTCACTGTTGTAAGCACAATAGCTCTGCCATACTTTGTCCTCTGGGTTTCCCTTTCTTTTCTCAGTGCTGCCATCTTAGCTGGGTCAGGCTGTCATGACCTCCCTCTTGAACAGGTTCATAATTTATTTCTTTATTCCAAATCTATATTTCTCTCAATAAGTCAAACAGTATTACCACTTCAGTCTTTCAAAAGTCTACCTCTGATCCCATCCCTACCTTATTCAATCGCTCTGCAGAATTCATCACATAAAGTCTAAACTCTGGAGCCTCAATTTCAAGCTTCATTCCATCCTTACCTGTTAATCCTAGTTTCATTCTCTAATCTTAACATCTTACTGCACCTTGTCATGAATCTACACTCATTTGAAGTCATGCTATTTTTTATTCCCTCTACACGTTCCCTTCGTTTGCTCTACCTGTCCAGGTATGTTCTTGTTTTTACACCTTTCCATTTGTTTTACAGTGTTCACTATCTTTTCCTTTTGTAATTTACTTTTCCCACAGTATCTTCCAGTCCAAAGCCTACTTATCCTTCAAAACCAGGCCTGAATGTCACCTCCATCCCAGGGGACCCTTACCATCATTTTACCTTCCCTTTGTTCTTTCCTGACCTCCGATGTACTTTATCTGGATTTTTGAAAAACCTCAACTCTGTTACTGGCTTTAGGTATTGGTTTTTATTACCCCTGTTTAGCATGTTCCATATCACAGCCCCTCAGATCCTTGGATCAAGTCTGATTCTTCAGTGCCTCCTACTCAGACCTGTCCCCAGCCATGCTATGGATAGAGCAGGTCCTCTGCAAACATGAATGAAACAGGAATTGAGGGACTTGAAATGACAGCCTGGTCTTGCGGGTCTTCCTTTTTGTGACATTCTCAGTCACTTGGCTGCTCCTTTACATGAGTGCCTATGGAAATATTTCAACGCCAAAAGCCAATGGGATAAAAACATTCTTATCAGCAGGAAAAACAAACACACAAAATGCACAATTGATTCTCAAACAGCAGATGATTTTAAAGGAGTGATGAAAAAATGTCTTGGATCCAGTACCTTTATACCTGGTTACTACAGCTGCATTGACGCTAAGAGGCTCTTGGAAGCTGACAGTGAGTGATGTGCTGCTGGTCACCATGAGACAGACGTTGGTTGGCATCTCAGGGGCTCCTGGGACAGAAGGAAAAACACAAGGATCTTAACATAGCAAATCCTTTTCAAACAACGTTCCTCCCTCTTCAGAGGATACCCTGAAATACACACTATGGACACATCTGTTTGTAGAGCCTAATAGCTTTTGCTTTTGAACATTTTCATTAGATGTCTCAATGGCTTTTATTTGTTGTCATTGTGGTCTTATGTGAGCATTAGAACATTTTCTGAAAAGGTAAATAATACCAGTTAAGCCTTCCTAAAGTATCCTGCAAACACAATAGGAGATTGGGCAGGATCAGTGAGAAGGGCAGGAAGTGATAGCAGGCTCCTGACATTGTCAGTGGAGACCCTTTAAAGTACCTCGTTTCACTGGAGGCTTTTTGCAGCCCTGCTAGGTAGAAAGGGCAGGTAATAGCACACTCTCTTTCCGTATGAGGAAACTGCAGCCCCAAGTGGCCAAATTTCTTGTTCAAGCCAGATGAAAGCCCCTGGCTTCAGATGCCTACTTCTGGACTCTTTCCAGTATAGACAGAATTCTAACTCACCTTGCTCTCAGGCTGTCTCCTATTACAAATGAGAAGTATTTTCTGAGAAAAAATTTGTGAGTGGATGTCATACCCACTAACCTCAGGTTTTAAAGGACTCCTGATAGCTTCAGGTATTGCTTAATTATCACCCAGAAGGTGTTTTCTAATTTAGAAAATTACAAAATTATAAAAATTGACATCAAGTCTGAAAACACGTCTGTTTCTAGTATTAATCTGTCCTAAATGAGGCACAACAGCAAATGCATTTATTAAAGCAAGTGCTGAATCTCTTTGAACAAATCTGTACATCAGCTTTGCTGGAGAGTGTTGATGTTGAAAGCAAACGTTCATTAATGTTATTTGCTCCGAGGGAAAGGATTAGGCCTAGATTTGCTTACTGTACAGTAGTACTTAAGAAAACATCCTCATTGCCTTTGGTCTTTGTCTACATCACAGCTAAGGTTCCTGCAGCAGAGGCAGAGAATTTTCAAACTAATGAACTTTCCCTCATATTTAAAATTTCAAGCCGAATTGTTTTTGTTGTTTAGATAAGACCTTCTTCTCAAATGAGAGTTTAATATTTCACAAGTGTTTGAATTTTGTATTTTGTTTTTATATCAGGAGCTACACTCAGCATTACTTTCCAGTGCTAATGAGTATTATCCAAAAAGAAGGCTGTTCTTAAACTAACAAAAAGAATTGGTAAAGAGAATGGAAATGCAGACAAAAGCATAATTCATGGGTTGATTGACTGTCCTTCTCAGTTGCCTGCGTTAACTGAAGTTCACTTTATAGCTCTATATAAAAAAGGCAGTGGAGAGTTGAAAACAACTTAAACTCGAGCTTGAAGCAGAAACTGGACAAATAGGCAAACAAATATTTTTCCACCTCCCTATCCCAAAATATAGCCACCTAGGGCATCAGACCATCCAGGTCATTAGGCATTAGGGCATAGCGGGTGGAAAGTGCTAGATGAGTGTGACATGGTGGAGAGAGGCCAGAGGCATGAAGCCTCATGGCTGTGGTCAGAGCACCCATCAGGAGCCAGAAACTCAAGCAAGACAAAAGACCCTTTGACAGCCTCTCAGAGCCCTTGCTCCACACAGGCTGACAACGGCCATCCATGACCCTGTAGAGCTGAAAAAAAAAAAAAAAAAACTAGTAAAAGAAGGTCTGGCTGTCTCAAACTGAAGCTCAGTCTAGTGAAATGTAGACGTTTTCTGCTTATACTCACTGGCATGCTCAAAGCCTGTTTTCATGCGTCTGTAGAGCCGATACCTCCACTCCCAAGCTTTCAGCTGTTTCTCTTTCTCTGTGTTGTCCAGAGTGAATCCTTCGTTCTCCACCTGGGCAGACAGTTCACTCACCCTCTCCTGGGCTTCCTGGACCAGTGTGTTGAGGTGCATTGCTCGGCTTTCCAGGCTGACAACTAAAGGGAAAGAAATGGGATTACTTCTTTTTCTTTCTGGGGAAATGCTGCTTGGTTGGAAGGATATATCCCAGAGTCTACTATAATTAAAAAAAAATGCCTGGGAAAAGTGGGATCTGTGTTTATTATCAATTGTCTTATCGAAGGTCTAATTAGTGACACATTCAGATTAAGTGGCAAATTCATTAAATTAATATATTCCCATTGCTCTCTGTTCTCCTGTAACGCACGCCTCAATTAGCTGCTTAACTCAGCTAATTAGAATTCCACCATCAAGTACTCAAGAGGACCACTTCTAATCCAGAGCGTACACATTTGTTTCCATGACCTTTAGAGGGACAAACATGCAGGGGCAAAACTCTGTAGGGCCAGGAATACCCTAGGAAAAGTTGTCCATGAGGCAAGTTGTATACTGGTGAAGTTTTGTGTTATTTTTTGTAGAACCCGATTCAAATTTTCTGTCTTTAGCACATCCTTCCCAGCTTATAGACATTTTTGTATGTGTATCCTGGAGGCACAATTTTATCATTGTTAATTCATTTATTTATTGCTTACAAAGAGTTCCACTACTGCTGCCACAGTTGAGCTAGTGAGTTCTGATGGCTGGCTGAGTCCAGTGTGATCAGAAATTGATCTTTGATTGCGGTATGATGGCAGGAATGGTCTCCAGAGATACCGATGCTCAAGAGGATACATTATATGAGCTCCTCTTGCTGAGACAGGTTGTAGAGCTTGCTAGTTCTATTTTACCCAATATGTGATAGTCTTCATTTGATTTACTTCAAATTGTTTAGCCATCCTACTCTTGTATTCGTGTCAATGAATGGGTAGGAACGTTTCCCTTTCTCGTGCTGAGCAGTGAGGCTGCCTCTCATGGCTGTTATGCATATCAGGTTCTGCCATGAGCCATCTCCTCATGGCTGTTATGCATATGAGGTTCTGCCATGATGGTCACTTGGTCACTTCAGAGCCCCTCTTGGTTAAGTGATAAAAGACAGCCTCAGCATGGGAATATGATAGGGGAATCACACTACAGTCAAGTAAACCAGAATAAAGTCCTGCAGATCTGTTGCTGAAATGTATTTGACACTCCCTGTGACCAAAACAATATTTCTCCCTGGTGGGTGGGAAAGAAATCCAACTATTTCATTCTTCTAATTAAGGGGCAACATATTGTGAAGATAACTCAAGTGAAAATTTTTAGGTGTATTTTGAAATGGAAATTAGGTGGTTATATATTCATATTCTCTGTGTTCATAGGCATGTTTGCATTAATTACAGGAAATGAATACTAATTTATTATTGCCTCTGCACCATCAGTCTAAATTTATTTACAGATGAGGTCAATGAAAAATTAGCTGAGTCTTTTCTTTTTCTTTCTTTCTTCTTTCTTTTTAAAGTTGCTGTTTAGAACACTCAGGACTGTGTTTTGCTGCAGATTTGTCATGGTTAATGAATGTTGCTGTAGCAGTCAATCATGTACTCTAAATACTGTCACACTTTTTTTTAAAAGCCTCAGTCATGAGCCATGACAGAAAAATAAACAAATAAATATAAAGCTAAAAAACTCTTTCACTGAGCAGCTACACTATGCAGAATCCCCGGGGAAGGCTAAAGGAGGCCAGAATAAATGATAATGTAAGTGCTGTGGACGTAGGGAAGCAATGATGGGGTATGAACGCAGAGGTTCTGGAGAAAAAAAATACATATACACACACGCGGGCGCACACGCCAGTGGAAAAATTGGCAATATTAGTAGCCTCAAGGTGCAATTTCCTGGAGCAGTGAGATTGACAAGTCAGTACTAAATGCTGTTAATTTAACTAACTTCAGATTAATGGTAGAGTCTGCTATGACTGAAGCCCTCAAACACAGTCTCATTATAGCCTTGCTGGGAAGGTCCTAAATATAGGCATTGACAGTTTAAAACAAATTCGTATACATTTGTGTATTTTTAGACATAGGTTAGGCGTCAGAGTTTGTGTCACAGTTTTCAGGTTGATTAATTGACCCAGTAACTGCACTCTCTACCCACTCCCCCCTCCTTCTTCCACTCCACATTATCGAGAAAATGGGGGAATTGTCCTTGTTAAGTTATTCAGTGAGCTTTTTATTGTATGCCTGATGTTTGAATTGCATGCATGCGTCAACACTTGGGTGATAGACACATGATTTATAAAAATAAATTTTTCTAATACTATGAAATCCCCCCTATTAATTTTTATATCCACAACAGTTATTACTGGTGTGAATTCCAGGTGGCATTTCAGATGGACAGCTTCTCTTGAGCTCTGCTTGGCTCCTTCTGACAATTTTTCTGCTTTCCCTAGAACCACACATTTTGTTTCTGCATTTTCCCTTTCCTTCTAAGCTTTAGATGCAATTTAAGTTATTATGGTAAAGGGATTCCACCTCTTCATGATAATGCATTTTGCCTCTTCAGAGACTAAAAACAGAATTTTACAGTTGGGTGAGCTCTCCAAGATTATTTAGATTCCAGTGCACCTCAAACTGGGATACCTAAACTCTAACGTAATACGGTGGTGATGGAGGGTGAAGTGGGGGGGTAGAGTGATCATCTCTGAAGACACAATATAAATGAATGTGTCTCCTTGGAGCACCACATTTTACATGCAGATTTTGATTAAGCATATTATTTAGAAATTAAATAGGTCTATTATGGAGAAGAATGGAAAGTGTTTTCAAAAACTGAAGATTTTGAAAAAAGGGAAACTTTGTAAAACTCTATCCCTTTTCTCCAGGTTAAGACCACAGGTGCCCTTGAGACTATCATTTGCATCTGTTGTTAGAAGTAATCGCATGGATAAGTCAGAGAGCCAGTGGTTTCCAACCATTTCACCAAACAAACCTTTGTTTATTTTTTTCCAGTGGATTTTTAATAGCTTAATAAAACACCCTCTTTTGAAAGATTTTTTTGGTCTACCAAACCAGCTGACTTATAAAGTGATCATGTTTCTCCCTATTATTAATGACCTATATAACCGTCAATAGAAGCATCTGTTCAGAATGAGATAATCAACCTAATGAAGTGGGTTAATATATTTTAAGCAGAAGAAAGTAAATATGATAATTATAGTAGACTGTGTAGTTTATCTTGAGTAATGGTGTGATAGTTAGGCTTTTCGAAAGCTTGAAAATTGTTCTGGAAATCACATTTCTATTTTTGCCACCCTGGAATGGGGACATTTTCAACCTCCTCATTTTAAAGATGAGGAAATTGAGACCCCGGGGAGATGGGATGACTTATTCATGATCTTCATCTAAACCTTAAAGAACTCAGTGAATTTTCTCTAAACCCAATGGAATACAAATCAACCTATTATTTATATATTACAGTTTCCTGATTGCTATCTATTTGGCATGAGATGGGTGAACTCAGTTTGGCTGGCTGGATTTAGAAAATAGGAAGGCTATGTCTGTTTTATCATTCCTGCCCATCCACTTCTCTTTTTCTTGGATTCATTCCCCTTTCACTTCCACCCACAAGATACTTTTCCCTGGAGTCCATGCTCCTGATCTCTTTGCAAGGCTTGCCCTTTTCTCTCATTGCAGTTGGTCTCTTCTCTAGCCAAGCAGCTATCCCTCTGAGCAGCCATGCCAGCACAATGGAGGGTCTGTGACTGTGTGGTAAGCAGTCCAGCAGGGGCAAGACCACTCAGTGGCTCTTGAAACAGGCTCTGTGCTATTGTGGTGTTTAATTATTAACAGCATTTCTACCACCCGGTGCTTCTGAGTGAATATTTGTTATAAGACCTACCCAGCTAATTAACTATGGGATGGTGTGGGGGGAGTGGCAGGAACTTTGTGTTCAAAGAATACAATTATAGTTACTGTTTAAATCCTGAGATAAATAATGATCAGGGAAGGGACTTTCTTCACCATTAGAATCTAACCTATGGATTGGTACTTGTAGTTTGTTAATTCTGCCATTGCCCGCAATTGCTAAATTTGGGCCTGGTTGATATCATTGCTTAAAGCTTGAAAATACAATGAATGTAAAATGTAAACTAATTTTAATTTTTAATTAAGGATTTTAGAGAACAATTCATCTGGTTTGCTTGAAAAAGAAAAAAAAGAGACACATTTGTCCATTACTCATGATGTGCCGTTTTTCAATGTAGTGACAGCTTTCCCATTATTATTGGCATTTTCCTCTTTTAACAATGAGAAATGAGGCACTAAGATAATCATTTAATCTCAAGAGTTAGAAGGATACCTTAAAACCAACCTTAGATGCCTCTCCTTTAGTACCCTTGGTCCTATATAATTTCCTACCTGAGGGGAACTCACTATTTACTAAGATGACCTTGCCCATTTTCATACAACTGAATTTTAAAGTTCCCTTATCCTGAAATGAAATCTCTTTCCTCTGATAGTCCTGTGTCACTTACTGACAGGGAAATGTTCTGAGAAGTGCATTGTTAGGCAATTTCATGGTTATGCAAACATCACAGAGTGTACTTCCACAAGCCTAGCAGGTATAGCTACTACACAGCCAGGCTATGTGGTATAGCCTATTGGTCCCAGGCTACACACCTGTACAGCATGTTGCTGTACTGACTACTGTAGGCAGTTATAACACAATAGTATTTGTATATCTAAATCTATTACAACATAGAAAAGGTCCACTAAAAATACTAAAACTGTGGCGTCAAGGATAAAACGTGGTAGGACTCCATAGGGCATTTACCCTGAATGGAGCTTACAGGACTGGAAGTTGCTCTGGGTGAGTCAGTGCATGAGTGGTGAGTGAAGATGTAGGACATTACTGACACTACCGTGGACTTCATCAACACTATGCAATTAAGCTACATTCAATTTATAAAACATTCTTTCTTCAATAATAGCTTACTGTAACTCTTTTACTTCATAAACTTTTACATTTTTAAAACTTTTTGGGTTTCTTGTAATACAGCTTAAAACCCAAACTGTACCGCTGTACAAAAATATTTTCTTTATGTCCTTATTCTATAAGCTTT